CAACCCTAGACTCCTCAAGTGTCTCTAGTCCAGTCTGCCCTCCCTTTGACAGAGCCCAGGGTAAGTGGCTGCAGACGAAATGTTGTATGTTGGCTCTTTAACAGGCTCTCTGCATCTCCAGCTGTCTCTCCCTGGCAGGCAGAAACCCTGCTGCTTTTCACAGCTGGATGTTACCTGGGTTCCTTGCCAACTCTGGTCCTGTAGGCTAGGGGAGCACAGCTTGGGGTTTAGACCCCACGCTTCTCGGGGGGAACCATCCCCCCGCACCACCACCACTGAAATACCCCTCAGGAACTTCAACTGCTACCCATGGGAGCCCAGTCAGCCCTCTCACATCTCCACACTCCCTATCAGTCACATTGTGGTGAAGTGGTTTCTTCTGTTTGTTGGAGGTTATAAGGCTTCTCTTCAGCTACTGTTCAGTTGGTTATTCTGGATGATTTCTCTACAATTTAGTTGTAATTCCAGATTGGTCATGGGAGGAGGTTAGTGTGACTTCCACTTACTTCTTTGCCATCTTGGATCTGTCTACATTCCAGATAATAAAATCAGAGGTTCAATATTACCAAATCCCTTCTCAAGAGAAATTATATCATTTTTAGTCCTGCCAACCTCCAGGAAGACTATGTTATTTTAGGACAAGGGTGGAACCTGTCAGGTATGAAGCATAATTCTTGAGCTTAATTTCATATGGTCCTGAGGGAAGTACTAAAAAGTAATTTCTCTGTATACCTATAGTTGCAAAAATGCAACACTACCGTATAAAAAGCTTTTAGTAACAATATCATAGATGGTCACAAGGTGGAGATATTCTATCCAGGATGCTTTTGTGTTTGGCTTGCCCCTTTTTCTACAACATATTTTTTATTTGTATTTTTAAATGAAAATTTGCTTAGAAAACATATTTGAGACCCCCATCTTGTGATGTTTTCAACTAGTTTGTTGTCTATAAAATACTTCGGATTTGAGCTTTAAAGTTTAACAATATGTGTTACTAGCACTAACGCTTCTGTCTTATATTTTAAATATTGAGTTCCAAATTTGGCCTTGTATCTTTTTAAGTTTCTTAAGAAAAATCAGACATACCAAAAACCATAATAAAAGATTGCCCAAAAAATGTTTGTGCCCTGATCATTTAAAAAAATTACTTTAAATCAATTTCATATTATATACATTAAGACATACAGTTTTATTGCCAATTTTTACAAAGTTTCTACCTATCCCTGTTTGCTAGTACAAAGACCTTTTTTGTATTGTTTCAGGAAATGAGGGTTGAGAGATACTCAAGGACATGCAGTAAAAATAATTGGCAGTTGTTAGTAACCCATTTTCAGGTATCTAATTAATGGCTGTCACATACATGGGTGATCCTTTCTGAATTCTAGGCTGGGTCACATGTTAGTGCTGAATGACGTGGGTCAGACATGATGTTCTCCCGCCTGTCCACACATAACTCAGTGTGCAGACTCTGATATTTGAGATCCTGGCAAGCTTACTGCTCCTAAAATTGAATTAGCCTAGTGAGGTGGCTCAGTTTCTCTTTTCCATGATAAAACAAGGGGGTGGGGGTTTTAAAAAAATTTTTTTACACAAGCCAAGTATCCAACTTGTTAGGTTGCCTTATAACTCTGCTACCTTTCCAAAGAGTCAGAATTCTTTCAAGTTTTGGTATCTTTCCTACACTAAAAACTCAATGGGTGTAAGAAGACATAGTTAAAGAAGGGGTTTTAGATCTTGAGGCACAAGAGAATGGTTTTTTAATTCTCACCACTGCCCAGCAAAGGGAAGTATAATATAGACTGATTCTGATGTCGAAGACTTAAAAATAAAAGGATTTAATATTATATTTTTCCTTTTTAATTTTCTACTCCTGTGACACCCTCATCCATACTCCCTCCTTCCCTGGTTCATTTCTAATAGAGCCACTGAATAGTATTGAAGTGGTTATAAATAAACTGATTTGGCACAGTCATTCTACCACTGACTGGCAAAACATTGAGCCTGACACTTTAGGAAGTGTAAATGATCTCATGGTAGAAAGAAAGATTAGATTTGGTTTCTCACTGGACAGAGTAAGGACATTTTTTTGAGGAAAGCTGCTGATCTTTTTTGTATGTTTAAATACGTAAAACGTTTTATGAGGTCTGTAGGTTAAAGCCCGTTACTATCAGAGGTATCTTCATGGTTCTAGGAGTTTAACTTTGGAATTCTTATACCTTGAATTAAAGTCTTTGTAACAAGTGGAATATGTAAGAGAGGACAGTTTTCTGTGTTTTGACCAATTCCAGAATGCAGAGATGTAAGTGTCTCTTGGACTTAATAGTTTCCCTTCTTAAAAATAGAGGGAGGCTTTTAAAAAAAAATGTAATTGTGTAATTATGGCAATGTTTTTTATAATAACAGTGACCATAAATAAAAATTTATTTGAATAAGAATGAAAACCTTAAAAGCCACCTTAGTTTCATTCAAGGAGCCTAATCTTCCTTGAAGCAGTCATCAAGTATACCATACCATACAAGGATAGTCCTAACCTGCGTTCATAAATATTTATTGGACATGAGCTCTCATTTCAGCTCCCAACATGCTCCTTCCTCCACTTTTTTTAGTTTAGGTAGAATTCATGTAATATAAAATTCACCATTTTAGTCATTTTAACTTGTACATTTCAGTGATTTTGAGTGTAATCACAATATTATGCATCTATCACCACCATCTCATTTCCAAACATTTTTATTGCTCCAGAAAGAAACTCTATACCCTTTAAAACTCACTCTCCATTCTCTGCTGCCCCTGGCAACCATTAACCTATATTCTGTTTCTATGAATTTGCCTATTCTGGGCATTTCATATCAATGGAATCATACAATATGTGATCATTTATGGCCTAGTTCTTTCACTTAACATGTTTTTAAGCTTTGTCATTGTTGTTGCATTTATCTGTACTTCATTCCTTTTTATGGCTGAATATTCCATTGTATGTATAGTCCACATTTTATTTATACATTCATAAGTTGATGGACATGGGAATTATACTACTCTTTGGCTTTATGAATAAAACTACTATGAACATCTTTGTACCAGTTTTTGTTTGAACATGTTTTCAATTCTTCTGGGAAAATATACCTAAGACTAAAATTGCGGGGTCATATGGACATTAATTCTATGCTTAACTTTTTGAGTAACCTTCCCTTCACTTTTAACGCTATGTAAAGTGCCTGGCTCATGGTAATTCTTCAACAAATGCTGACTTTTATTGTCATTATTGTTATTCCTACCTTATTATCAAATTGTAAAGAGTTTTTTTCAAGGGTTCTATCCTTTGTCTTTTGCTCTTAGATCCTGTAGATAAATGCAGTAATGTACATACATTCTAGTGGTAGATGTTTGGTTTTTCTTGAAATTTATTTTGATCTTCGAGTACACATTTAGGTCTCCTGGGTATTGTAAAATCTGGAAACTGAGGAAGGGGCAATATCATGAAATGAAAAGCTAGAGGCAACAGCAGAGTAAACCAATGGAGTAAAATAATGTGCTTCTACCAGGGAGGGTCAAGAGTACATGAGGATTTCCTTTTCCTTTTAACTTGCTGCTACCAGACCTGCTTGGGTCTTTGGCGATTAGAAACTTAATGGGCTGGGGCCCATTAGTAGAGGAAGAAGAATTTCTGTGGCTATTGAGATAGTTAAACTTTATCATAAAAGTATTTTTTAAAATATGCTAACTCGAAGGGGAATAAATTATTGTTCTCTGTGACATGGTAGGAGTAGGCAGTAAGTGAATTCCTTTCAGATAGTATTCAGAAAAAGCATCCTATATATTAAACTTTAATTCATACAACAAGGCAAGTTAGACTCTAGTTTTTGTCTTTTTTTGCTTTTTGAATCATATGTGTGCCATTTAACCCAAGAGAGGAGTAGTAATAATTTGGATAACCTTATGATTCATTGTGTCAAATCTCTTAACTTCAATCTGAGGAATCTATTAAGTTTACTTAGTCATACAAATATTCTTTCCGGAGTCGCCTCCACTTTCTTTATATAAATGAGCAATGATTCAGAGCCTCAGGAAAATAAAGAGAATAATTTCTTTTTTTAAAACACATGCTAATAATAGTTATGTGAGTTTGTACTCCATATTGTACTAATTAATTCCCATGCCCTCTGAAACGGATTGACAACTCTTGAATCAGACACCTGTCAAATGCATGTTAATGGTAGCACTCATTGAGAGGGAAAATATGATTCTTAGTTACATGTATAGTACTTCACAATGCAACCCTTTTTATATATTAAAATGTGGCAATACTTATTTGAAAATTCATGGTTTCTTTAAGCAAATTAACTGAAATAAAACTTTAGAGGAATTTTTCTTCCAAAAAGGGTATCAAGGAGTCATGTAAAACATAGTTTATGGCCTTTAAAATGCAGGGATATATAACGTTGGACTTTGGTAAAAGTCAGTGGGTCTTCTTTTGTACAAATGACTATCCTCTTGTCCCAAGAAGGATGATAGCCTGTCTCAGGTACCTTCAGGATATAGTTCATGTAGTGTCCCTGAAGGTAGCTGGCTAGAAAAGATCTGAAAATGTCTAGGCAATGTGAAAACAGGATGCTACTTGAAGTGCACTGGCTAGTAGGTGAATCTCATCCTTCCATCAAGTTTACCAGCTAAGAGGTGAGGAACAATGTCAATCTTGAGTTTTAGTTAAAATATGTATAGCTAAATGGTCCTGATTTGAAGTAAGACCTAAACTAGTATCTGAGTTCACTATTTACTTACTTTTTAGCCTTTTTTATTCTGTTTTCTCAGATTGATAACATAAATACTTTTATTATCCATTGGGACTCTCTTCCTAATCTATAACTCGGCATACTTAGGGGCCTTTGGTAACAACCCTATAGATCTCTAAGACACAAATATGAAGAGATTCAAAGCCTTTATCTGAGAGCACTTAACACTGCTCTGCTGACTTTTTTGTTTCTTTTTGACGGTGCACTAAGGTGTCCACACCCTGGCATCCTCCAACTGTGCTCCTGGGTCATTCTCAAGAGGTGACATCTGTGTGCTGGTGTCCATCAGATTTCACAAAGGTTTGTAACAAATATTCACAGTTGTTTTAAAAAGTAGATCATAGATTTGTAAGTTTCCTGAAGGTTATTTGAGAGTCATATAAACTTTCATGCTTAAATAAAGATTTAAAAGATCTAAAGGCTATCCAGGATCTGTATCAGCGTTAATTGTACATATTCTACTTTTCTCTACCAATGGAGAAAGTGTAAGGAAAAGGATTGATTTCTTGGTTTCCTAGAATCATTCCTTTAATAAACATAGAATTAAGTTTTTAATGTAATTAAAACTTAATCTTAAACTCTAAGGTAAAAGAAAATCTAAGGTAAGAACTTGTCTTTTTACCTTTTCTACATATTATAAATGTAATGGATTGAAGGTAACACCTTGACTGTTCTTCACAGTCCGGCTTGGATTTTCACATGGCTAAAAAATGCTTAGGGTGAAGTCCTGCAATGTTAGGTTACTTGTGGCTAAACTACACAAGAAATAGTTCCAAAATATTTTAGATGCTCTAAAATAAAAAGAAAATACTGTCACTTAAAAAAAATTTTTTTTTAATAGTGAAGATGAATAAAAAACCTGAAATGCAGAAAGGCCAGAAACATAAACAAATCTCTAGATATATATGTAGGAGTTTCATATAATACTAGCCCAAGTTCCACTCTCTCTCCCAACTCCTACTGCCTCTGGTCTTTGAGTTGTTCTGGATTTATAGGAAATCTCAATTATGTGGAGAGCCATCCCTTTCTCATTTTGACATTTTAAAGTTTTGGGGTTGTTGTGTTTGTTTGTTTGTTTGTTTGTTTGTTTGTTTGTTTTTTTTTTGCATATTGTTCTCATCTGTTATTTATCTTCCAGAAACTTCTCAGTGTCTGTGCTACTCCTGGCATCCCTGCTAGCCCTGTCAGTATTGATTTCTGTGGTCAGCTTCATGATAGACTTTTTTTTTTTATTTCCATAGATTAATGACATTTTTATTTTATTTATTTATTTATTTTTAATTTGTTTTTTTCAGATACATTTGTCTCTGCCTACCCCCCGTGATAAACTTTTTTTTTACGTCATTGCTTTAATTACCAATAATTACATTGACATTACACTAGTGATGTAATTTTTCTTCTGAGATTCCATGTTATTTACAGTGAAATATCTCCTTTTAACATGAAGTTCTGTATCATCAGAATTTGCTAAGATGGCTTTTTAATTATTTAATTATGTCATCTTTTTGTAACCATCATAAGTTGTCTTTATCTCTATGCACAGAAAGAAGTGGCAGGGCTATTTACCAATACTAAGGCTAATGACCACCTTTTAAAAAAGTACTTTGAAATAATTTTGTCCCTAGCTTACAGTTAGGATGGTAAAATATGATTAAAAGAAAAAATCTAGCTTTGGAAACTGGAAAAACTTGGATTTACTAGATCTGCCACCCAGGTATGGTGACCTTAGACAAATAACTTTATTCCCATTTTGTAGATGAGATTATTTGAGTACAAGGATTTTTATATTATAAGAATTAAATAAGATAAAGAGTGCAAATTATCAGACACACAATAGGTGCTCTATGAATAATAACTCTTGTTAATAGACTATAGGGTAACTGGGGATTCCAGGCATTTTTTGTTGAGCAGTTAAATATGTGTCTTCTTTTGGCCTCCCAGTAAGGAAAGGAAAAAGCTGCCAGTCTCTTGGGGGCCAAGACTTAAGAGAACGTGTGTTCTTTTTTTTTTCTCTCTCTTTAGTGACTGAAATAGAGAAATTATATAAACAAATGCTGGGAAACAGCTCTGGTACCAGTGGCCATTTGCCACAAGCTCTTCAAGCTGGACTTTCTCTGCCATAAAAGGATTGGGACCAAGATCAGGAATGGTCAGATATTTTTAAAGGGGCAAAGGTTATTTTTAACTTCTTTCAGCCTAACGAACTTGTTTTACCAGATTGCTCCTTTACCTATCTGGAAAAAAAAAAAATCTCAGGATTGGTTCCATTCTGCTCGTCACAGCCTACTAGAGTCATGGACTAAGTCTGATCTTGGAAATGATCCCATTACTTCAGCAACAAACCAGAACATGCAGAATTCAAAAGAAAGTTTCAGAAGTTGAATATCAGTGACATACACTGTTTGATCATCTAAGAGAAAGAGAGAGCTAAAAGGGTTTCTTAATGAAATATTTCATAGATACATAGAAGATGATAAAGATAATGACTTGCCCAACTTATTGAGAGTAAAATGAAATGAATCTGGTTTATAGTAGAGCTTTGGGTTAATAAGAAATGACTGGTAACAAAAGACATACTAGCAGAATATATATTTTTTTAAAAACTAGAGAATTCACTTGTTTGGAAACCTGCAATGATTCCTTTAAAAAAGGATAGAAATATATGATCTTTCAGATTTCATTTTCTATATCCTGTTATATTAAACAAAATAATTTTCCAGTGAGGAACCCTTAAGACTCATGTACTTTTTACTTTGTTGCGAATCTTTGATTAAAACTTAACTCCCTCTCTGGTTCTCATTAGATTGCTACCTGCTCGGATGACAATACACTGAAAATCTGGCGCTTGAATAGAGGCCTGGAGGAGAAATCAGCAGATAAACTCTCCATAGTGGGTTGGGCCTCTCAGAAGAAAAAAGAGGCGAGAGTTGACCTAGGTAAGGATCCCATACATATCTTTACATTTCTTACGGTTTGAGTGGTTTAGTTCTGCAGTACAGAATGATAAGCTACATATGATCTTGTGTTGGTATGTATTTTTTAAAGATTTTATTTATCTATTTTCAGATAGAGGGAAAGGGAAGGAGAAGGAGAGGGGGAGAAACACCGATGTGAGAGAGAAACATCAGTTGGCTGCCTCATGCATGCTCCTAACCAGGGACCCGGCCTGCAACCCAGGCTTGTGCCCTGAGTGGGAATCGAACCAGCGATCTTTTAGTTCATAGGCTGGCGCTCAGTCCATTGAGCCACACCAGCCAGGGCTACATTGGTATATTTTTAAAGAAAAGTATCTTAACATTTTTTATTTTTAATAAAAATTTTCTGAATACTACTATGTTTATCATCTACACAAAATACTTCAATGCATTGCTTTTATTTGTAAAATATTCATTGAATGCTTTACTGTGTGCTAGGCAGTGTTCTAAGTTGCTGGGGATTCAACAATGAATAAAAGAATCAAGAATCCCAAAGGTGTAAATGAAGGTTACATGTTAGCGTGAAAGGCAATAAACGAATTAAAGAAGTAAAAAACATACTATGCCAGATAACAGCAGTGCTTAGGAAAAAGGGAAGGGGGTAAATTGTAAAGTGTGCTATTAAAATTTTTAATTAGGTGCCCAGGGACGCATCGAAGAAAAGATGATGTTTGAGTAAAGAAAGTGAAATAGTGAACCATGTGGATATTTTGGCAGACAAAACAGCAAATACAAAGACCCTAAGCAGGAGTAGGCCTGGCATACAGGGTGTGACAAAAGTGGGTTTACAGTTGTAAGTATGTAAAAACACCAGAGTGTATTCCTGCATTATTATTTATTAATTATTGTAATATATTCCATATGAACAACTGTAAACCTACTTTTGCCCCACCCTGTATTCATGTTCCATAAAAGCACCTATTTAAAGTATACAATTCAGTGATCTTTAATATATTCGGAGTTGGGCAGTCATCAACACAGTCTAAATCTAGAGTATTTTTGACACCCAAAATGAGGGTTCCAATTTCTCCATATCCTTACTAACATTTGTTATTGTTCATCTTTTTTATTTTTAACATCCTTGTGAGTGTAAAGTGGTATCTTACTGTAGTTTTAATTTGTATTTTGCCCTGATGGCTATGTTGATGAACATCTCTTCATGTGCTTATTGATCATTATTTTCTTTGGTGAAATACCTGTGAAATCTTTTGCCCATATTTTAACTGGGTTATTTGTCTTTTTATTGTTGAGTTGTAAAAATTCTTTATATATTCTGGATATAAGTCCCTTGTCATGTAATGATTTGCAAATATGTTTTTCTTACTCTGTAGGTTGTCTTTTCACTTTCTTGGTGGTGTCCTTTGACATACACAGTTTTCTAATTTTGATGAAGTACAATTTATCTCTTCTTTATTTTGTCATTTGTGTTTTTGCTGGTGTATCTAAGAAACCATTGACTAACCCAAGTTCAAGATTTACTCCTATGTATTTCTTCTAGCTCACAGTTGTTTTATTTTTAGAGCTGTATCCATTTAGTGTTTATTTTTGTGTACAATGTGAGGCAAGGATCCGAATTAGTCCTTTGCATGTGGATATCCAGCTTTTTCTCAGTATCGTTCTTTAAAGAGGCTATTCTTTAACCCATTGAATTGTTTTGGCATCCTTGTCAAAATCAAATGACTATAAATGTAAGAGTTTAGTTCTGGACTCTTCATTCTATTCCACTGATCCGTTGGATATGTCTATCCTTATGCTGGCACTACATAGTCTTGATTACTGTAGCCTTTTAGTAGGTTTTGAAATTGGAAATTCTGAGTCTCCAATTTTCTTCTTTTTAAAGATTGTTTTGACTATGCTGGGCCTCTCTTATTACTATATAAATTTTAGGACCATTTTGTCAATTTCTGCAAAAAAGCTCTCTGGGATTTTGATAGGGATTGCATTGAATCTGTAGACCAGTTTTGGTAGCCTTGTCATGTTATCAGTGTTAAGTCTTCTGATCCATGAACGTGGAATGTCTGTCTGCTGCCTTGTCTTTATATGTACTTTTCTTTCCCTAATTTTAGAAAACATAAAAGAGGGGAATCATATGAGGAAAAAGCCATCAGTGTTTCTACCACTTGTGAAGAATTTTAACATTTTGAGGGTTTTTTCAGATTTTTTTCTTCCTTTATATTCTTGAGTCATAGTTATTTTGTATATACATTTGAATTACTGGGGGATTTTTTTCACTGAACATGATGTTCTAAGCACTTTGTATGTTATGTTGTTAACAAAACTGTAAAGTAGTGCACTGAGTAAGTGGTCCATTAATTACCTGGCTATTCTGTTACAGTTGGACAATTTGTTTCCAATATTCTGTGAAATTTTTTTAAACGAATTTAGGATCGCCCCCTTCCATTAAAATAGATTTCTAGAGGTGGACTTTCTGTGTCAACCGCTATAACCATTTTAAGATTTTTGATGAAAAGTGTGTTGCTTTTAACTTTATTTTTAGTGCGTTGTTAAGTATTCTTAATTTTGGGATCCAAGTCCCCAAAACAGTTCTGCGTATTGACCAAATTCGGACCATAATAATAACACCACCATATAACCATTATTATTGAGTACTACATAATTGTTTTAAGGACCTACTTGGATTATCTCAGTTAATCCTCCAAACAACTGAAACTGAAACTCAAGGAGGTTAGACTTGCCTAAGATGACACAGCTGTGAAGTTAAAGTAGAACCAGAGTTGAACCCTTGCAGTCTGATTCTAGAGTGTGTGTTTGAAAGTACTGTACAGTACTGCCTCTTTTAGAACCCGACACAGCAAAGCTAAGTTCAAAGACCAAACCAGGAGTTATACCTAGATTTCTCCATTTCTGGGTGAAGCTCGAGTTACTCTGAATAACACTACAGGGTAGCAACCTGCCGCGAGTGCCAAAGGCTGGCACCCTGACCATTCAGTCCTATAAGCCACCATCCAGCCACAGATTGGCTGCTGCTAAGCATGCTGCCATTTTGAAAATTATGTTCCTCTTTTCCCAAGCTTCTAATGGCCACCCCAACTTTCCTTGCTGTTCTGGACTGCATATCTTCTTGCTATTTTAACACACCAGCTGGAAGGCTTTAAATCCCAAGACAGAGCCCCTTTTCCCTCTGCCCCACTTTTCGTAGCCAGTACCTACTCTGTGGCTTACTATTCTTTCACTGTTTCAGCCAGAAACCTGACAAGGCCAATGGTTCTTAACCCTGGCTGTGTATCAGAACCACTTGCAGAGTTTTTAAAAGTGTGTGTCCCCAGAAATTGCTTGCTAGATCTGGGATTGAAGCCAAGTACCTGTATTTTTATAAAGTCCCAGCTTAGTCTGGTATGTGCAGCCAGGATTTGAGAACTTCTGGTCTAGGCATTATTGAGTGACAAAGATGATAATCCTTATCTTGAAGAGAAGGAAACCTTACCTGTTCTATCTCAAGTGCTTGTTGCAGTCTCAAAAGTCAGCAGAATGTTTACAGAGTCTCTTTTTATTGATGCCTAGAACCTCACCCTCATCCCCCTCAGTAGTAATAAGATTTAACAAACATTTGATAATTCCAGGCTAGATACATTTTAGTCACTTGATGTAAAGATGACTAAATCATCATCACCGGCACTGTAGTTGGTCTCAGTTTAGTCCAGGAGACAGATTTTTTTAAAAAAAACAAATATAATAGCTATAGTACATTCTAAACATTACTCCTAGCTGTATAAACAAAGGCTCCGAAACCCCATTTCCTATGGGAGAGAGGAGATGTATGAGATAGAAAGAAAGAAGTTTGTGAATTCAACACAATTGTCTTCAGAGCTTGGAAACATGAGGAAAATTTTTGCCTGGCAAAGAAGGGGTAGACTTGGCAAGAAAACCACATGAATAAAGACAGAGCTGTTACAGTGCACAGCTTGTTCAGGAAGCAGGGAGTAGTCTCCTGTAACAGGATCCTAAAGTAGCATAGTACGTAGTAAGATTGAAAAGGTAGAGTGAGGCCAGGTGGCAAACCCTTGTGTAAAAAGAAGCTGCAAACTGAATGATTATTTGTAAGTTTTTTATATAATTTCTCAAAGGAACTAACTTTTCCAATGTCTTTAGAGCAGTAATCCAGTCTATACTGTGTCGCCAGATCTCATGCAGTGCTTAAGGTTAATAGGGATTGAGACACTTAAGTAGGTGAAGTACTATACGGCATGTCATATTTGAATCTACAGGCCCGTATGGTTACATACTATCCAGCTGTTAAAAAATAGCATAGTGCATCTAGGCATACTTTAATGAAAAGATATAAAGAGGAAGAGATATACTGTTTAGAGAAAAGAGCAAATTGCAGAACATGTGTTAATCCATTTTTTTTAAGGTATATTCATATACCTTTGTGTATGCAAGTAAGCACAAAGAAAGTTGTGGAATGCACAGGAGAGTGAAATAAGAAGATTGAAGAGGACTTTTTGCTGTTCACCTTATTCCCCTCTGTAATTGAATTTTGTTACCATGGACTTTTATTACTTGTATAATCTAATTGCTGTTAAAAAATTAAAAAGAGAAAGGATTTAAACTTGACCCAGAGTTTTAAGTTCTGTTAACCTTCAAAGTTAACAAAATCTACTCTTTGACCCTCATGGTCTATTTCTTCTTTCATTATAACATCCTGAAGGAAAAAGAAATGCCTCAACTTTCTACCACATCATATTTCCCACTGACCTTTGATAAACACTTCAGGCGTCTGACATTCAAGTACCAGAAACTTATATACTTCCTTTGTTCCTTACACTAATCCTGTCTTGAAATCTGCATGTTGTAAGACTCATACTGTTTTAGAACTTTCTGCCTCAAACATACACTTCAATCCACTTTAATGGCACTAATGACTGAAAGGCTGTGCAGTGACTGTTGACTTGCACAGAGGAGTGTAGCAAATGAAAAGTTTCTTTCCTTTTGAAATAATAACTATAATCAAACTGGAACATGACTGTGAGATCTATTACCAGACACTCCATGGACAGGTACCAGTCTCTAGCTCCTCCTCTATAGTACATTATAACAAAATGGGGCTTTCTAGTAATGATCGTTATTGAAGGAACAGTATCATTTTGGCCGTTTCTTAACGTGATGCTCCATGTTTAGAATGGTCAACCATTTCTAAACAAGGTTGATGAGAAAAGTTGAGGCAATTCAATTGGTAGAATTTCCCCGTCTCAAGGCAAGGCTGCTTGAGTAGTGAAAAGCAACAGGGTAAAAGTAGAGGGTAACTGACTGAACTTAGTAAACCTTTCTTCTAACTAAAAGATTGTATTTTTATGTCAGGCCATTTTAAATTCAGTTGCATATAAATGCAATTCAATTATTAAACTGAATTAAATAACAGTTATAATTCAAAGACTTTATGACTGAGAAATAAATAAGTGTCTTTTCCTTATTATTTGAAGACACAAACACTACTCAGAAATCTAGAAAGTTCTGAAGGAAAGAAAATACAGTGCTCTCTGTGGTGGGGCATGAGGGGGAAGAAGTGTAAAGTTTATTATAAGAATTTGCCTGAAATACTTGCCATTGCTGATAAATAAGGGGCAGGACACACAGAGAATAGTTCTACCCACTGTTTAATTTGCTTTATAGAGAGCAAGCACTGAGTTTTGGAAATGTTCTTTGGCATACTTTGGCTTATGGAGAGTAGTAGCCATATGTAAATCAAGGTGGAAAACCACATGGGGCCTGATAACCTTAAGTGTTTGATGGAATATTTGTGGACATTAAAAACTATTTAACAAATAAGGAAACTGAGGCAGAGGAGCTAAAGAGTTGTGCTCAAGTCACATAGATTACATGCCCAAGTATAGAAAAAACACTAAAATTGGTTCACCCAGATGCTTTTAATCTTTATTTTTTTTCCTGAATTATCTAGATTTTTACAGGTATAAGTTTTACAATGGGGTAGTCGGGAGGCTGGCAGTTAGGAAAAGGTAAGGAAATGCTAAAAGGATGTGGTAAGAATCAAATGATTTATTTATATGATCAGTTCATTGGGAAGTCAGCCCCTGGGTGATTAAGTTAACTATAATTTTCCTTGATGTGAATTCAGGGATTTTCTTTGGCTTTCACTTCTGACTTTTGTGACCCTTTTTTTTTTTTTTTTTTTTTTTTAAATAGGAACAGTGACAAGTGGCCAGAGTACTCCTGCCAAAGCCCCCAGAGTAAAGAGCAGTCCATCTAGTTCCTCCCCTTCCTCAGCAGCTTGTGCTCCGAGCTGTGCTGGGGACCTCCCTCTTCCTTCAAATACTCCCGCATTCTCCATTAAAACCCCTCCTGGCAAGGCCCGGTCTCCTGTTGGCAGAAGAGGCTCCGTCTCCTCTGTCTCTCCTAAGCCACCCTCATCTTTCAAGATGTCCATTAGAAACTGGATGACCCGAACACCTTCCTCATCACCACCCATCACTCCGCCTGCTTCTGAGACCAAGATCACATCTCCAAGAAAAGCCCTCATTCCTGTGAGCCTGAAATCATCCCAAGCAGTGGCTTGCTCTGAGTCTAGAAATAGAGTAAAGAGGAGGCTAGACTCAAGTTGTCTGGAGAATGTGAAACAAAAGTGTGTGAAGAGTTGCAGCTGTGTGACTGAGCTTGATGACCCAGTTGAAAAGCTTCATCTGGATCTGTGCTGCCTTACTGGTAACCAGGAAGACCTTGGTAAGGACTCGCTAGGTCCTACCAAATCAAGCAAGATTGAAGGAGCCAGTATGAGTGTGTCAGAGCCTCCTTCTCCTGCCAGTCCTTATGCTTCAGAGGGCTGCGGGACACTGCCTCTTCCTTTGGGATCTTGTGGAGAAGGGTCTGAATTGGTGGGCAAAGAGAATAGCTCCCCGGAGAACAAAAACTGGTTATTGGCCATGGCAGCCAAACGGAAGGCTGAGAATCCATCACCACGAAGTCCATCATCCCAGACCCCTAATTCCAGGAGACAGAGCGGGAAGACTTCCCCAGGCCCGGTAAGTCAACAGTGTGGGCGGACGCATTTCCTAACTTGAACAAGGCAGGTTCAGATCCCTTCTCAGAAGTCAGAGTGCTTTATAAGCAAACCTGTTTATTTTAGGGTTGCCAGATTTAGTATGTAAAAATACAGGACAAATATTGCATAGGACATATTTATACTAAAAAATTATTTGATGTTTGTTTGAAATTTAAATGTAACTGGGTGTATGCTGTATTTCTATCAGGCCACCCTTATTGACTCCCATTACAGTCACTCCTGTTAAGGTCCGTACCCCTCAGCCCTGTTGTCTGATTCATCAAAGCCTCCTCATCCTCTAGGATATCAGTTCAAAAATACCTTTCTCACCACTGTTTGACATTCTTTCCTCCCCACCCCCTTTTTTCTTATTTTCCCCACCCTCAAGCCCTTGGCACAACACTTTTTTATATTTTCCCTTTTTACATATAAATTGCCAACATCCATAAATAGATTACCAGTTTGTAATTACAGTTTATGATGATTTAAAATAAAGTGAAACTTAGATACCTGCAAAGCAATTTAAGTGCAGGCTCCTTCTAGGTTTTAACAACTATCCCTTATCTCTTACAGTTATCTTGCTCACACCAATGTTGTGGTAATTCACCTGTATCTACGCTTTTTATAAACATCAGCTTAGTTTTACTTATCTTTTTAGGGCTCACATTTTTCAGCTGATATACTATTTAAAGTTAGATAATTTCAAAAAACAGAGACTGCTGGCAGAAGTAGATTTATAAACCTTAAAAAACAAGTGACTCATTATAATAATGGAGGCAAAAGTAGCTGTGAGCATAAGGTGAGATATGGGCAGCAAAAGGAATAAAATTTCTGTTAATCAGTTTGTAGGTAAAAGGGAGGTGAGCTAAGGAAGTTTCTGCTGTAGTTCATAGTAGCTCGTGCCCTGTGTTAAGGAGAAAGTGGTGGAATGATTAAAATGCACTCCAGAGATCATGATCAGCAACATCTGCCCTTTTAAAAGGTACAAGCTGGGTAACCTTTGGCCAGTTCTGTCACCCACTTACTGTCATGCAGCCTGTCCCATAATTTTAGTAATAAACTAGAAATATTTTAAGATTACTTTAAACACAAACTTCAGGTATAGCCTTGCTACAGAACATTTTAAAGAGAGTGTGCTGGTTCAAGATACTTTCAGTGTTAAAAGAACAAAATTCAACAGTTTACGAATCAGGCAGCATCCCATCTAGCAAATAGAAAGGAGCCCTGAGGGGCTGTACAAAATCAGCAGCTTTTTTTATTTTATTATTATTTTTATTCACTTGAGAAAGACAGAGAAACATCAATTTGTTGTTCCACTTATTTATTCATTCATTTGTTGAATCTTGTATGTGCCCTGACTGGGCATTGAACCCTCAGTCTTGACATATCAGAATGACTCTCTAACCAACTGAAATACCTGGCGAGGGCTAAATGAAAGGCTTTTAAGGACAGAAAAGGGGAAGGGAAAGGAAAATTGAAAGCATGAATTATTTCAGACAAGGTCCCCTTTCCTTAGGGGAAAGCTTGGGGGTCTATCAAGCAGATTACCTCACTGGTATTAATCAGGAAATTCCAGATTAACTGGTTAAAGGTCACATTCCTGGGAGAGGCTGGGGCTGCAAATGGGTGTTACATTGCTAGTCTCCATTTGCTGAGATAGGGCTTTGCACATGTGCCTCCATTCTGGGCCAGTTGTCTCTTTTTTAACACTGGTTTATGTTTTCAACCTTTGAAGCTAAACTTTTTTTCTTTACGTACACAACGATAATGTGGACTTCTTCAGAAGAGGGTAGTCAGTAGCTGCCATTTGAATACCTATCTTGTTTTAAATTTGGGAGGGTAATTTACTCATTTCAAAGAGGATAGTAGTTTTAACCTCTTTGGTTCCTACTAGGAGGTTTAACTGGCAAATAATTCACGTTCACATGAAAAGTCCCTGCCTTCCTTGTGCACTGTATTAAATTTTCACTATATTCAGTACAAATCAACCAAAGGCAACATTATCATAAAAATGTTTGAGACTGAAAACTGGCTGACTAATAATCAAATTTCTAGACATCCTAACATGAAGAATCTGTTAGTTATAACTTTCTGGGATAATAGCTGGACTTTTATGTTAGAAAATGTCTGAAATCTAAACTTTCTTCTTCTAGGTCACTATCACTCCCAGCTCCATGAGGAAAATTTGTACATACTTCCATAGAAAGTCCCAAGATGACTACTGTAGTCCTGAACAGTCAACAGAATTATAGATCTTAATCTGAGTAAGTTAACTGAACTTTGGCCCATTAAAACAAGATAAAAATACAACAAGAGTGGCTCTGTAAGAAAGCTACCATTCTTTCTTTTTTAGAGACAATCCTTTCAACTGAAATTTACCTAGTCTGATTCTACTACCATAGTATATATGCAGCTTTCTCAGAATGAATGCTGCATTTAAATTTCATAAAGTAAACATTTTCAATAAGTAGTCTTCACTTTTTTAATTATTCATATTCTGTACTATGGTGACATCCCATCTTATAGAGGCGAAAAACAAGACTTGTCTCTTGTTACTCTGAGACTCTCTATGTACAGTGTAAAGTATCTGCTGGCCAGGGCAGAAGGCCTGCCTGTGAGGGCCAGCTGCTGCAGACCCCTGGATCTGTGCTGCCTCAAGCAAATATACTTGCATTTAAAATATATAATCTTTTCACTATGCTTCTTTTGCTTTTTTTTTTTAGGTATGTATATAAATGTGACGTTCAGAGAAGTACATTTATATTGATTTAGCGTGTGATTCAATGGTAACAGTCCCTTTAGTTAAAATCATTTTTATTTTAAAAACAGTCAACTCTTAGAAAAAAGTAGAACAACACTAGAACCCTTATTTGTCTTTTTTCCCCAAAATATATTTCGCACATGAGATTTAAGTTCCCCATATTTTTGCTAAACAATCTACTATGTTACCAACATCCAACATCATGCTCTATACGAGGTTATGATTTTTGCCATTTATAAGAGATGCTTATAAACTCAGTAATTATACACTGAAGCTGGGGTTTGAATTCAGTCCTCAGTTCTCCAGGTGCTGCAACTTAAAAAAAGAAAGAAAGAAAGAAAGTCATCAGATTTTAAGAAAAAATAATGATATCTTACTGATATTTTTATAAAAGAAGATAGTTCTGAGCTGAAAATCCAGAACCTCAAAAATAAATCTTGGCTTTAACTTGCTGTTTTGGATTATCTTCGTATACATAAAAAGCAATTGCCTTCTAGTATAGCCCTGAGTCAAAAAGTCTTGGAATTTTTTGTACATATTTAATATAGAGTATATAGACTAACTCTAAGTTATAATGTGCTAAATATCCTGAACATCCCTTCCCTTGTTAACAGTTAATTAACAGTTAGATATTGACCATCTTGAGATGAACTGTTTCATATTTTCCCCCATTGTAAACTCAGCTTCATATACTTTCTCTGCTACGTCCTCGTCCTCGGGAGTCCCTTTGCAATCATGAAACTTGATTCATTTTATCTATGTATTTGAGGACTTTGTACACTTTTTCCATATTTTTGTGATACTTTTCAAATCTGTTCTTAATGATAACTCTTTAATTCCTTTGATTCTTGTAAGTTAAGGTTGTAACAACCAGAACTGCAAAGGTCAATTAAGCAGGGCTCTCCTGTCTTTATCCAAAGAGAAAAATTAAAGGAAGTCATAAAATTGCTGTTTCAAAACAAAGCACCCCAGTGGTAACTGAATATTCAGAAAGTCTACATATACTTGGTTTTTGATTTTTGAGTGTTAGACTGGAGGATGGTGTTATTTATGACGAATACTTGCCAATAATGCTATCTATCTCTCTTTCTCTTGATTTGAAAGCCAGTGGGGAAAATAATCCTTGAAAAAGAAAAGGAGAAGTAAAGTAGATGCGTTTGTTCTTTGTATTCCTGCACATCTCCTGACAGCTCTACTGAGTGAAATTGGGGTAAATGTGGCTGTCGAGAGTTGCTGAGAATCTGCTGGGTATAACTGTCTCGCTCGGAAACTAGTACTTCAAATGGGTGCCAAAGGTCAAATGTAATGAGATAATTGTCCCTGTTTGTGTCAGTGTCAGACTTTGAGCTGATCCTGAATAATAAAGCCTTTTACCTTATCCGATGTCCTTTTCTGAGCTTTTTGCATTAATCTAGAAGTAATCTACACGAAAGAACTATAGTAGTAATCAAGAGTCCCTTCTACTTGTTCATTGAATAAAATTTGTTTATTCCCAAGGATATGATCTAGTTCAAGCTGAAAGAGGCTTTACCAAAGTACACCTTGCTTGGTTAGACCTTGAGCGCTTAGGATGGCTTGGACTACTTGATGAAGGAGGGTGGAGTGATGTAGTTCTCTTTCTAAACGAGTATTTCCAGCTCAGGCTTTTCCATTTGAATACACTCCAAGTGCTATTGCTAGGATGCTGGATTTGTTTCCTTTTGGCTGTTTCAACACAGGCCCTTAATTTACTTTTTTGAGGGTTCACTAATTAATCCTTTAAAATGTCTCTTTTAATCTTGGCTGCACATTTAACTGATGATAATCAAGACCATGTGTAGCTAACCCTATTGGACTGGCAGAGGATGGGTTCAGCCCACCACTCCCATCCTCAGCCCTAATAACTTAAAACTTCAGTAAGATTTTTGGGACATCCTGTATAGGAGGCATTTTTTTTAAAAACCTCCACTGTGTAATATGGATGCCTGGAGATCATTGTTTAAGAGAGAGATACTGTGTGTGTTGAATCAACGCTCACCTTGACTTTAGGTTATGGCCATGATCTCTTATTATAGGTCACACATCGATCATTTCAGTATTTGCTTTTTGGGAGCCTATCATAGCAAACATACTGCTGCTCTTAGGTCTGTTTTTCCTATTTTCCTAGTCCCAAGACAGTCTGGAGTTCCTTTCACACTGCTCTTACAGTCAATACCTAGTAGTCTTACAGAATAGTTCCACACCTAGGTAGTGTGGGCATCATTTTACAGATGTGCGAAAAAGAGAGGCTGAGCGAGAGTGTTGTACAGTCGGCCCTCTGTGTCCATGGGTTCTGCCTCTGCTGGTTCACCCAGTCTCTCATCAAAAATGTTATGTTGTTGGGGTGTGTACTGTGAGTTAGGCCTACTATTGCATCTATACTCAACACATACAGACTTCTTTCTCATCATTATTCCCTAAATAATACAGTGTAACAATTATTCTATAACATTTCATTGTATTAGGTATTATAAGTAATTTAGAGATGATTTAAAATACACAGGAGGATGTAAATTGATTATATACAAGTACTACTCCATTTTATATAAGGGACTTGAGCATCCACAGATTTTGGCATCTGGGCAGGAGGGGGCAGGTCCTGGAACCAGTTACCCGCGAATACCAAGGGATGACTGTACTAAAGAAACTCAGTTATTGTCCTCCTTGTCGCAATTGAGCACAGGTGGTTCCTGCTTCAGAATTTTATAAAGGGCTGCATGGAGGCCTAGGTGAGCTTTTGCTTGTCACATCTCACTGCCTCTCACATAGATCTTCATAGGAGATCTTTGCCTGGCTAGATTTGGATCATGTCAGATCATGGGTTAACCCCAGTTACTCATTAAATTCTTGGGAATTATGGGAAAACCTGCATTATTCATTAGGTCCTTAGATATTGGTTGGGAATTACAGGCAAGCCAAACAGCACTTTGTTGAACATGAACTGAGTCTAATGCTTCATTAGATCTGATGCCAGTAATATAAGCCCAGCTTGTTACAAGGGATTCATTTTGTTGTCTACAGTGGTAGAAAATCCTATTTTATTTCTGCTAAAAAGTGTAGAGGTTGTTAAAGAATGATGTAAGGTGAAGTCAGCCTTTTAAAAAAAAACATCACCCGAATATATTAAGCAGCTGGTTCAGAACAGTATGCTGTAGCAAATATGTGTGACACAAATGAGAGATATTTTACCATTCAAGAATAGTCTTGTTCCATATCAAAAGCTCATCCCTCCCACTTCCCTGCTAAGCCAGGAAAGAGGATTTCAAGGATATATAACCAGGTTCTTTATTTTAGATTTTGAAGGTTTAATATTTCATTTATACCCAATTTCTCTTTAATTTCCTTAACTTGCCACATGCCCCCTCCTGTTTGACATTCTAAGTAATTTATATTCAAGCCATTTTGTGGAATACGAATAGCACATTTCAAAATGCCTTTGATTAGGTGTTCAATTCAGCCAACACTTAACTTATTCATCACCTGGGTGCCAAGCCCTGTGTGAGGCACCTGGTCTGCAAAGAGTTCCTCCCTTTTCACTTGTCAAAGCGTTCACTTTATCTAGGGCACTTTCATGGGCTGAAATCGGCAGTCGAGAAAAACAGGCAAAGATCAGATTTTAAGTCTTTTGAGGGAAGTTGTATGTGAACAGCCATTATGTAGAAATGCTTTCTAGATGCAGATTCTTTCCTCCAGAATTTCATTCAACAGCTGTGTAGAGCACCATTAACTTTTCAAAGTAAAATACTTTTCTCATGCATGTTTTCATTATATTCTTTACAACATTATAAATAATAGTTAATAGTTAAAAATATATAATCTCTAAAGCCAAGCTGCCTAGGTTTGAATCCAAGCCCTCGCTGTGTGCCTTGAGCAAGTTTCTTAACCTCTGTGAACTGGTTTCCTTCTCTGTAACATGGGATTGGGTGGTCATTACATGTATAGCTCTTTGGACAGTACCTGGTATACAGTAGCCAACATTTATAAGCAATTACTGTTAGAATTACTTTCATAAGTTACAGAAGGTAAGGGTTATTTGATAAATGGAAATAAAGGTTTTAAGTAACTTTTCAGTTTTCCTAACTTATTTCTGTCCACTTTCTACTAGAGCTGTGGTCCTCAAAGTTATGTTGCCTGGGCCTCCAAATCCCAGCACTTTCAAAAGGAGCAAGTAGGCCTTTCGGGAAAAGTCTACAGTTCCTCAGGTGTTTGAAATCCATGACCCTTTCCCACCAGGTAAACATGAAAATTATAGAAGTTCTCTCATATATGCCCCCAGCCACTGTTTAGAGAGGCTATAATTTGCAAGTCTGTATCCTAGATTCTTTCTTAGTGCCCTGACTAGGAATCAAACCCCTAACCTTTTGGCATACCAGCCAGGGCTGTACCCAGGCCTCTTAGGCAAGCCAAGAGTTTTGGCTCTCACAAAGCTCACCCTCCCACTGCCTTACTGAGGCCTCCAGCTCTGCTATGCTG